CCTTGGCTGCACATTAGAATCACCTGGGAATCTTTTTAAAATCCTGATTCCTGGGCCTCATCCTCCGGAAATTGTTTCTTTGTTATGGGGTGGGGCCACAACATTAGTAACAAAGAAACAGAATTAAAACTTTATTGTGGGGAGCCACTACACTGTTTTGGACAGGTTCAAGCCTTGGACTGATGAGAGGGCACAGTTCTCTCATTGCCACGTGCAAGTCCCAGCTTGGAGGGCAGGGCCCTCCCAGCACAATTATAGCTAACAACCATAGTTGTAAGCTTGAACCTATGGTCCAAACACGTGGTCCCATGTGCCTGAGTGATGTAGGCTTGATAGAGTTCAGGTGCATGTAGTTGAGTAGGATTGAAACCCAGGAGAATGTTGTAAACATCTTGGTTACGCCCTTACTTTGCCTCGTAGCATCTGCTATAAAATAAAGTCATGGCTGTGGGCATGGTCACTGTCTCTCAGAGAAGCAGCATCCCACCGAGACCCAGCTTTCATTCTCTTGTCTGTCTTTTCTAAGCCTTTTCAGCCTCCCCCACTCAGGTTCACCCTTGGCCGTGCTGGCGCGGCACACTTTATAAAGATATGCCTCCACGCTCCGAGGGCGGGTTCCTGCCTCAAACCTCACCCTTACCAGAAACAGCTTGGGGGAGGGTGCAGCCATTTCCAAGACAACCCCTGCAGGACTGACTTCCGTCCGGTTGGTCGTGCCTCAGGTCGTGATGTTACACCCAGGGTTTTTATATAAGTAGAAGATATTCATGACCCTGCATTCTTTCAACTTGCAGACTACATAAACACATGCATACCATTGTAAAAAATAAAATGACGCACCACCACAACCTGTGGCGGCCACAGTCGAAGCATCATAAAGCCTGCAGCACCCCTGCTACACCAGGACTTTCCTGGTGGATTCTGGGAGAGAGTGGCACCCTGGAACTTTACTCATAATGGCCGCGGTGTTTAGAGAATGGCTACAGGATAGAGATGTCTACACCGTCAGCTTCAGGAAAAGGTGAGTTGGTCCCCAGAACCCGAAATTCTCCCCTCATTACAGACACAACCATCATCCATGCCACTACTCTCCCTTTTCCTACTACCCCAGCCACATTGGCCTGCACCCTGCGTACCTCCATCTAATTCCCACCCGAGGGCCCGGCACTGGCTGCTCCCACGTGGTGGACAGTGTTGATTCAGAGCTTTGCATGACCGCCTCCTTCCCGTCATTTATGTCTAAGATCACATGTCATCTCAGAAAGCCCTCTTGGCGTTACCCTAGCTGGTGCTGCAGCCCCCTCCCCCAGCATCCCTCCCAGCATTCCCCCGAGTCATTTCTTCATGTGACTCACGGCTGCCTGAGATTGTCTGGTGTGGCTGCTCACCTGCCCAGCTCTCTCCCTAACTGGACCACAGCCTCCGTGAGTGGGGCCGGTGGCTCTGCTCACTGCTCTCACCTCCAGTGCCTGCCACACAGGGGTGTCAGTATGCAGACCATCACACACTCTCCTGCCCACAACCCAAAGGTGATCAGTGTTCCTTCGAAGCAGCAAAGATGAAAGCAAAGTTGCCCTACTGTACCTTGTTCGTGAGGAGTCCATGTCCAGCACCAACTTTGCTAAATGTTTCCTCTGTTTTTGAATATTTGGGATTTCCACCTGTGGTTAAAGGAGATGAAACACAGTCAAGCTGAAGCTCCAAATAAATTCTTCAGGAGTGACTGAGAGACACACAAGTTTGCTAGAGGTCTCCCAACCCTTCTTTTTAGGTCAAATTCCCAAATCCTTTTCCTGACCTAACTCTGCTCTTTCTTCACTGGGCACCTGCAGCAGCCCAGAGCACCTTGGAGCTGCGCCCCCTGCCCTCTGAGGCGTGGCCTCATTCCTGCTGCTATCCTGACAGCAGACGGGCCTCCATCACCTTCCTCTCTACTTGCACGAGGACCGTCGTGGGGACAAAAGCAGGTCTGACACGCAGACCTAACTCCATAGACAGCAGATGAAAGGAGCAGCTCAGGAGACCGAGACGCTATGGGGAATGCAATGAGGGTATGTTTTTATAGACAGAGGATTTTTCCCAAAGTGACTAAGACATCAGCATCCCCACGGCTCTCCTGGGCTATGAGGCGTTCCTCCACAGTGGTGGTAGTGCGGATGCTCTTTTCATATTTTTATTTCTAAAAATGGCTTAACTGAACATTCCAGGGAGGGATTTTGGTTCCAGGCCCAGCAAAATTGGGGCAGGATGTGAGAATTTAAAAGAAAAAACTGACCATAATTGAACTAAAGTCATCTCAGGCTGTGGCTTGTAGAGGAGGAAAAATGTGAGGAAGATCCAGTGTTCTGTGAGGTGCTGTCTATCCATGCTTCTGGGCGGGGTGAGCAATGGGCCAAGTGGAAGGACTTCCAATAGGAAGGAAGAGGTGTCTGGGGAACCCCACATCGTTACGGAGCTCGGGGGCAACGCTGGGAGCCACACAGACGTCGTGGTCACACAAGCCGCCTCGGCCCCCGGCACACCTGCCATGGGCACTGCTCCAGGTTGGCTGCAATGCCGGGCCACCTGGTGAGGAACAAGGGCCCGGGACAGGCTGGGTGACCTGTAGCAGGATGGCATCCGAGAAGACTGGAGTGGCCCATAGCAGAGCCCACAGCTCAGGTTTCCTCCCGGAATGCTTTCAGGCACTTAGCAATCATTTCCCCAGGCATTCTGTCCCAGAAACAGCAGCAGGGGAGGTAGAGGTGCAGGGGGTGGCCCAGAGAGGAAACCAGACATGGCCAGGGCAGTGCTGTCCAATAAGGTAGCCTCCAGCCACATGTGGCTACGCCATTTTATTTTCAAATCAACAAAAGCCACACAAAATTAAAAGCTGAGTTCCTCAGTCACTTTGAATACATTCCCAGAGCTCAATAGCCACAGGAGGTAGTGGCCACCACCCTGTATGGGTGTGCGGGTGCGGAGGTGTGCAGGTGCGGGGTATGAGGATGTGGAGGTGTGTGTGCAGAGCAGTGCAGGTGTGGAGCCGGGTAGGTGTGGAGGTGTGCAGGTGTGGGGTATGAGGATGCAGAGGTGTGCTGTTCAGAGCAGTATGGGTGTGAGGGTGTGGAGCCAGGCAGGTGGGGAGGTGTGCACGTGTGGGGTATGAGGATGTGGAGGTGTGCTGGTGCAGAGCAGTGTGGGTGTGAGGGTGTGAAGCTGTGCGGATGTGGAGGTGTGAGGGTGAGGAGTTGCGCGGATATGGGACCTTCCCATTGATGCTGGTGGTTCTAGCGCCAGCGCCGGCGCCAGCTGGGCTTTGACCAACTAAAGGCAACTGGGAGGAATGCCAGGGTTCAGGGCAAAGGAAGTCCCAACCATTTCCTGTCTTACTTCTTTGACGCTAGCAAAACTGTCACATAGACATTAAGGTTTCTTGTTAATAAAGCGGTTTTGTTCAGTGTCCTTTACCGTCCAAGAGAAGAGACCTATGTAACAAACTGCAGGAGGCCTTATAGCAGTGATGGCGAACCTTTTGAGCTCGGCATGTCAGCATTTTGAAAAACCCTAACTTAACTCTGGTGCCGTGTCACATATAGAAATTTTTTGATATTTGCAACCATAGTAAAACAAAGACTTATATTTTGGATATTTATTTTATATATTTAAATGCCATTTAACAAAGAAAAGTCAACCAAAAAAATGAGTTCGCGTGTCACCTCTGACACGCGTGTCATAGGTTCGCCATCACTGCCTTATAGGGTCTCGGCCAGGGATCCAGGCCCCTGAGGAGGCTGCAGATCCGTTCATTTCACTGCAGACCTGAGGGGGTGGAGGGCAGGGTGGTGAGGGCAGTGGGGACCCTGGTGGGGAAGGGGATAATGCTGCCAGCTTGCCCCCTCCCCCTGGAACGCCAACGGAGAGGAAAGTGGGCGGGAGAAGGGGCAGCCAACACTGAGGGGCTGCCTTGTTGGGCAATCCTGACAGTGGGCGTGGCTGGTGGTCACCCCGTGGAAAGCAGCGTCACAGAGCAGGTGAGGGACAGAAACAACAGGAGTGCAGGGGAAAGGCTGCAGGGCCCGCCCTCTGTCCCCGCTCCTCGCTCAGGCCCGGCCGCATCCCCTCCTCACCTCCGCCAGCAAAAACAGGGGCTCGATCACATCTCTCTCTACTTGCAATTCAAAATGAATCAGCTCCTGTGCCAGCTTGTCCTCTGTCTCCCCACAGAGTTTCAGCATCTTCCTGCAACAGAGGAGAAATCCACGCTGCACAACCCAGAAAGCAGGTCATGGCGCCACACTGCGCACCTCCTGGCCGGGCACACCTTCATGACAGAGGTGCTAATAAAGCGATTGCTTTCCATGGTGTCCCTTGGACCAGCTTGCTCTTCCATTACTACTTCTGAAATTATCAATTTTTTAAATGATGCTGAGTACCTACTGTGTGCCTGGGGTAGAGGGAGCATGTAGGGAAACAGATAGAACAACTCACAAGCCAAGCCCACAGGCCTACCAAGAGCCAGGTGCTCCTGTTTCGGCCAGGGATCCAGACCCCTGAGGAGGCTGCGGATCCGTTTATTTCACTGAAGACCTGAGGGGGGTGGAGGGCAGGGTGGTGAGGGCACTCCAGGGCACTGGAGACATTGTTTTCAACAGGCCCTTAGAGAAAAACTCCCCAACCATAAACCCTTCTCAATGCAGGATGGACAGACAAAGCAGGAGTGGAAATCCATTCCAAAGTTATTAATAAGGAGCAAAGAAGAAAAGGCTGAATGAGGGGAAAGTTTTACCATAATCCTAGAAGCAAGAATACATTTCAAAAAGGGTAATTCCCCCAAACGGCATTCAGGCAGTCCTCGCTTCTCATGGTACCACATTAACTGAAACCCGTGTGAAACGTTTGTACGAATCAACAAGAGGCCAATGTTGTTCTAAGGTTAGTATGCACCTTCCCTACCCTTACTGTACACTTCTCACCAAATGTGTGTGTGCTCGCTTACAGTATATAACGCATCACCTACCGTAAAGCGTTTACACAACGGTTTCCCACGGAATCTAGCCTCCCGTTACATGCTTTTTAAATTCATCATTGTCTCTGGGGCTTATGCATCATGACATACACAGAATTAGGTCGTTTTGCTGTACCGAGTTCCATTCTGTGAATAAACCGCCATTTATTAGCCTGCCCTCGGTCCACGGTGCGTGGCTCTTCCACGCAGTGGCCCAGCGCCTGTGCTTGTGAGTCCCTGCCTGTGTGAGGATTGTTCTGTGCGAAGGAGAGAAGGCGTGCGCACCCTTAACCTCACTAGAGGTGCCGATGCAACGGAAAGTCCCACTGCTCTGCCCTCTGGCAGCCCTCGGTGTGGGTAGAAATGTTAATCTCTGCCACATGGTGGATACAGAGCATTCTCTCCTCCTGGTTTTAATTCCCGTTGCTTGACTGCCTGACTGCCTTCTCATGTCTTGGGTCCAGCAGGCTCCCTCTTCTGTGAAGAGCCTGTTCACATTCTTTGGAATTTCTGTATCGGGATATGTTATTTGAAGTTAGTTGTAGGAGTTCTTTATATACTTACAGATATGTGTGTGGATGCAGAGGGCATTCAAATTACTTTTCATATCCGCTATAAATGTCAACACCCAGGCTTATTTTTGTACCTTTTTAATGGTGTTTTTGACCTGATTCTTCTGTCACTTGCCCCCATATTTCTAATGTTACTTCTTAATTTTTTTCTAATTTGTATGCATTAGTTGTTGACTGTCGAGTATGGAAAATGGGAACTTAGCTGTCTTTACATTTCCCCTCCCTCCATGTATGAATACCACAGGCGCTTAGCACTGCATTTGCCCCATCTGCCATGGGGAGGAAGGCTGGGTCGTGTAGTGGCCAGTGGTTTCTCCTGCACATTGGTTTGTTCTCTGTGCAGTTCATCATCACCTGGTTTTGATTTCCTTGTTCAGTCTTCTACGGACCTGACTGAACCCCAAATCCTCTGCCACTTTCCTAGTTTGTCTCTTAGACACTCAACTACATTTGATGCGAATGAATTTCATCTTCTTGAATTCCTCTCTCCCAAAGCCGTGTCACTCTAGGCCAGCGGTCGCCAACCTTTCAGACTTCACGGACTACCAGCGGTCCACAGACCACCGGTTGGCGACCACTGCTCCAAAGGTTTCCTTAAACCAGCGGTCGCCAACCTTTCGGACCTCATGGATCACCAGTGGCCCACGGACCACCAGTTGGCAACTGCTGCTCTAGGCTGTTTGCCTTCTGCCCCAGGCACAGCTGTCTTCCCGCATTTCCCCCACCATTTCCTGCAGGTTCTCTCTCTGTCCTGAGTGTCCTGTTCCCTACATCCTGTCTCCCTTTCCTGGTCACTCCCTCATTACACAGCACATCTTGCTTAGCTGCCTGAGGAACTGTGGGTGGGGCGTCAATTTCTGAGAACTTACGCATCACGACACTGCCCTCCACCCAGCAACTGACAGCTGGGCAGACTCGGCTTAGCCCGTCAGGCTGCTGAAGGCATCGCTCAATCATCTTCCAGCGCCCCCTGTTGCTTCTGGCAAGGCTGGACGCATTCAAATTAGTGACCCTCTTATGTGACATTTCTCTCTAGAAGACTGCAGAATCTCTTACTTGTCACTAGTGTCCACTAGTGAGTGGAAGCCCTGGCACCGGTGTAATTTTTTTACTGTGTTGGGAGTTCAGTGGCCCTTACGTGTCCTTCGGTCCTCATTCTCTCAGATCATTTTATCATCATCATCATCATCATCATCCTCCCTTTATCTCCTTCCCTCACAACTCCTGTCACTGAAGCCGAAAACTTCCTCTACTTTCCCAACTCTTCTATTTTCTGTCATCGTCTTCTTGCCCTCGTTTCTAGATTTCTTCAACCTCACTTTCCAAACCTACTGAGAATGTCATATTCTTCATTTCTATCAGTTTGCTTTTGATCTCTGAGTGCTTTTCCCATAAATACTTTTATTCACATCCTATTTTCTGTTTAATAGAGGCTTTATTTTCTCTTCTCACTTGAAGATATAAGTGATAATTTTCCTGAAATCTTCTCCCCCAGGCAATATCTATTTCTTCCTGATTTCACTCTTGTATTATTTCTCCAACTGTTTTGGTATCTAAGCTTCAAGTGCCTGGTGGTCTTTGGTCCTGTCTGTACGTGAGGATAGAGACCAGCATCTTGGAAACTGTGAGCAGAGCTCACAGCTGGGAGCTCATCGGCAGGGTGATCTAGCCGGGCCGTGCGCTGGAGCACTGCCCCCTTCAGCGGCTTCCGGTCTGCAGTTCATTCCCCTGGGGCTGGAGACACCTCACAGAAGGCTCTTCCAGTTTCGTGCTTAGGGAGTAGGAGCCTGAGGGCTGCACGAGTGGGGAGACAGCTGGAGTCTCAGTGTCCAGCTGCAGTAGGTCACTCAAGTCTCTTCTTGAATAACCGGTGCCCTTACCTGGTGTCCCCTGTCTAGAGAAGCTGTTTTACCCAGAGAATAAAGCTCCACCATTCAGCTGGGATTGGGGGTGAGGGGATGAGCCTCCCAGAGGTGAGGTAAGTGCTGGGTTTGAGCAACCCAAGTGGTAGTTGACTAGCTTTACAATCCACACTCCCCTACCCCCAGAGACCCACTGTTCTGACATGCCTGGTGCCACCAATCCTGAGCCGTGTCATGTGAAGGAGTAAGTGAGGTTGGCTCTCTGGATAGCCTGCGTTGGGAGTCAGATTTCGGGAACTTGCTAAGTCAGTTCCCAATCAATCATGTTTTATAGCTCACAAAATTTTGTTGCTATTGTCTTCTCTCTTGTCTTTCCTCTTGTTTTGGGCTTATGCCTTTTAAGTAAAAATGAATCTCTTTGTTGTAGTAGATTTTGAAGAAAAAAAATTAGATGTGTGTGTTCAGTCCGTCATCTTTACCTGGGTGTCCTCTATCCCTTACTCTCAACCGTGTGTGTCATGATTTAGGTGTGACTCTTAGAAAGAGCATGCAATGACTTCATTTACCCACCTGACATTCTCTATATTATAAACAGTTGAGTTTTCTCCATTTAATCTCTAACAATTACAAATACATACAGTAGCAACTGTTACCTTCATTTTCTGTTTTCTATTTATTATGCTTTTTTTACTTACTTTTTTCTCTTTTAGTCCCTTCTATGTTTTTTTCTATTTTATTTCCCTTTTTATTCTTTTACTATTTTGAAGTTATACATTCTATTTCTATTCTTTTCATGGTTACTCTAATTTTTCTAACTTGTGCATTTACTTTAAATGTACTATCTTTATTCTCCTTCCAAACAATGTTGGAACCTGCAGCACTAATTCCCTTTCCAATGTTTCATGTTAATATTTTCTAGTATTTTAGTGTCACTTTGCTTTCAACTCCCATCAAATTAATTATTATTATGTTTCTACCATTAATTCAATGCTTATTAATATTTACTTACACTAAAGGGTAGCAGAATGTGCCGAAATATGTCACAATGGCATAAGGATTATTTTGAGCTGAAGGCAATTGAGAAGATTCAGATACAAAATAAGGTCTCTACACCAGCCTC